GGCGGTAAAAAAGGAATGACGAGGGGAAGAAGGAGCAAAATAATAGGACAAGCAAAAAAATAATCTTATAGCCAATCGGGGTTTGAAATCGAGAGTGCATAGGCACGCATTGTTAGAGGAGTGTGTGGGCAGGATCGTGTTCCTGAGCTCCCATTTGCAGCAGATCCCTAACATATCAGAGCGAGCACGCTACTACATTCTCATGCTATGATCTGGACTTACCTTTTGAATGGCAAATAGGCTGGATCAGAGAAGATTGAATGTTGCCAAATAGGATAGCAGGAGTAGAAATCCATCATGAGCACCGAGTCTTGTATAAAAGTCTTCCTGAACATCATGATCACCTGTACAAATGCATTTTCTGCGACGGTAGGTTGAATAGGATCGCCAGGACTGAGTTCTTTCGCCGCCAGTTGGTCATGTCATTCGCCGATCGCCGGGAACAACTTCTTGCAGAGACTGGTAGGTGGGTCAAGGGCGGCACGTGCAAGATAAAAGAATCAACCATATGGGGGAAAGCCTGCCATTGATTGCACCAGTTCTCTTGGAAGGTGGGTGCGATATGCGCCGTTTATCGTTGTGTTGTTCCATCGGCCTTGGCATCGTATTTGATCCACGTTCGCACACACGTTACCCGCCATACAAGCTGATGAGCCGCAATTGATATGTGTCTTTTTGTTGGACCTGATACCAGGAGAAGAGAGGGCCTTGCCGATCGATTCCCGATGAGAAGAGTAAGACCATTCCTGTGCCTGGCGGGGCGGCTTTATGTTCATTACGAATTGAGTCCCAGCTGTGCCCGGGACTCAAGTCAGGGACTCAGAGAGTCCCCCGCCATACCAGTCCTTACTGTCCGCAAATTCAGCATGCACAGATTGGTTCTGTCCCGGTGGTTCTGTCTGTGGCATTCCCCCCTTGGATGAGTTCACTTTTTTCGTACGCACTACTCCAATCGGTCGCTTTTTTAAAACTTATTGTAGCGTTCGTGGACCCATCCGAAATCCAAATGCATGTTTCTTGGTATCATGCCATAGATACAAAGCACGTCCACATCTGTGTCAAATTTGAACGCAGGTTGTCTATTTCAGTTCTGAAAAACAAATCATTCTTTACAAAAAAAGGATCAACGGAAAAGTGAAATTTTGTAGCCAGGGTCGGATGTTGAATTCGATGGGGCTGCATTTTATGACGATTTGACGTTGTTCCGTTAGTTCATAGATAGGGCCCATCCTTGTTCTTTTGATTGCGACAAATGACAAAACAGTCTTGACCATGACAATATGGATAGTGTCTCGATGGACTTTATGCATAAAAGCCTTTTACCAAGATCAAAAGCTATCAAGCAAAGACTCAAGTGTGTTGGACAATTTCAACCCCCGCCTTGTCGAGGGTAAGCCCAAACAAAATAATTTTCTCTTCTTCTTCTCTTTCTTTCGCCCCACCTCACCATGTATTCCAACATCATTGCCCGGTCCGCCATACGCTCTCGCCTATCCTCCCGCCAAGTGATGCGCTCTGACTTGTATCATTTCGAAAACAACAATGGACAAGTAAGTTCATTGAACCCACCTATCCTACTTTAAACGGATTGGCTTGGCTTGGAAATGGCTTGTACCAACAATGTCTGACTAATACGTTTTACTCTTATGCGACGATAGAACATACCTTTCAACACCAAGAACCGCACGGGACTTGCCGTCAAGATGACACTTTATCTTGGTTTAGGCTTTGCTGCTCCTTTCCTCGGTAAGAGTCGCTAACGGCACTGGGCTACCAAAAATAGGTTTCACGTTATACAGGCATACGCAGCGCTAACTTTTTTTTTTCTTGTCTTGTAGGTGCCTATTGGCAATTGTAAGTGGACTAACAGGCCATTGGCGGAGGGAGTTGATACTAACACCCCCTATTAATAGCTACAAGGCTGGCAACTGAAAGTTCCCCTCCCGCTTCACCGACAGCACCTACCGCGAGCATGTATAGCAAAGGTATGTCAACAGATAGGTGGTTGTTTTGTTTGGTTATAAAAATAAAGCATGTTATGCCTCTTTGCCGTTTAAAAATACATTGGGTATAAATATACAAAGCATCTCTTGTGTCCCTAACGATTATCATGTGGTTCCCCAAGCTTAGGCGGGTGTGGAGCCTACTTTACATCTTCCTCACTCTTCCCAACCCTTTACTCACTCGCTTCTTTACTTTATACACTAGTAGCCGCTGACGAATTGCCGCCGCTATCACCACCATCACCATCAGCAGCAGTAGCGGTAGCAGCAGTATGTCTTACATGTCATCACACCGGACGATATCGGAGGATACACGCTGCATAAACATTCTACACGGCATTGTTGATGTTATTTGGCTTAGTATGATTCTCTTACATTGGCCAGTAATAACGACGGACGCAGCAGACACCAGCAGTACCAATCGTCTCACTTTTCTTGGTCTACCGAGAAAGAATCATTGTGCCATCAACTACAACAACATCCTATTCATATTACAAGGCGAAAGCGCTGGATCACCATCGTCACCAACGTCACTATCGATCACGTTTGCGAACAGCATAGCCAGCGTTTCGTCTACACAGATGCCTTCTATACAATGGATACCTAGACGGGACGACAACAATACCCACCAATCACAATCACCGTCGTCCGCCTCGATCTGTGCCGTTACTAGCTATGGTCAAGCCATCATTTTCCATCCGACTCTCCGAACGAATGACACTATAGACTTGAACTCTCTGAACTGGACCCTCACCACATCGTCACGACAAACAACACACCGGCGAGCATCACCCACCTTACCGTCTGATCTGATTACTGTAGCGGCAACGATGATGAACGACGATAGACTACTGATTCTCGGACGGAACAGCACCGCCTTGTCGACATGGATACTGGACGCAAGTGATGGTCGCTTGGAATGGGATTGGACAAAACTATCAGCAGCTTCACCAAATGCGATGCATGAACCTCGGCTGATGCTGGATGGCGTTACTAATGGGTTTGTTAGCGCCTCCTTGACAACCACGAGCTCCTACGCCTTATACTTTGGTGTGAATCAACAATCGCCTACACAAATGTATTACAATGTATCCGTCCATTGTTTTGATACATCAGCTCTATCTTGGACGGGATCTCTTTTAAACTTTACAAGTCCTACGAATCATATTCAACCGGTGATGATCAGCAAACAAAACACAAACAGCTCCAACACAAATGATACCTTACTAATTGTGCCTGATTGGATCGACACGCCGATTATTACAACACCAACTTCTGATAGAAACGTGACCAATGTTGTTGCAGCGCATAAACAACAAACAGAGCAGCAGTATCGATACAGCAAACGACAGCAACTGCAGCAAGGAAACGACGGCTACTGGATCTTGACGCTTGAAACCC